ATTAAGGCAAGTACTTGAAAACACATTCTCTCTCTTTTTTTTTTTCTTTTTAAGGAAGAACCGTACTTGGAAGTAAAAACCTCCGTAGATATGGAGTGGAATTATTTATTGGCGCGTCTTAATCGAGAGTCAGGGAACGTGGATGGCGCGGCAAAGAGGCAAGAGTGTCCGATGTTTAAATTCAAGCGGGGATCGGTAAGAATTCGATCGATCTTTCGAGGTCTATTGAGTCAGTCGAAGCGAAGACGCTTGATGGATCGCGCGGGGGCGTGCGACATGCCCCTTTCTTCCTCGCGGGAGTCGAGCCACCATTTATTTTATTCTTCGTGCCCTGTTGCGGAGCTATTTGTTTAAACTCTGTCGATTCCAACAGAGAGACTCTGGTCGTTATTAGAAAAGTATACTGACAAATGGAACCTGACTGCTGACAGACTGTCGCAGCGTCGGCGCCGCGACTTTCTCCAAAGAAAAAAACAACAAACGAATTCTTTCACTCTTTATTTAGCTTGCGGATTTTTATGCAAATTCGAGTTTTCACGAGTGCAAGTGGATATGCGACGGTCGAATAAAAATTTGCTTCATGCCTCGGACACTTTACGTCTTATATTTATATACATACATATACACAGATGTGAAAACAATCTCAAAGTGTCTCTATCTCGTGTTTAGGAAAGTCGCATTATATTTTTGTACGTTTCAGTTTCTCGTTAACAGTTGAAACTTCGCGGTGAATGAAACAAGACTCGATCTTCTTTTTTCTTTTTCAACTGCATTCGTCGAAATAGGATTTTGTTGACAAAGTATAGTAAAAATAGAGAGCGAAGTGTATGGATAGACGGAAGATACATGATGTCAGAGTCTATAGGAGAGGGCAAGCGTGGAATTAACGGGTGGCATGCAGAGCAAATTGGATAAAACACGAGGTGTAATCTCCTTCTCAAAAATTCCATTAACTGGTGCTGGCTCCGGCAACGTAACGCGGACAATAATTACGAATTGACGTTTTTTAATTGGCAACGAAGTACAATCGCTTGACTGACGCGAAAATCCACGAAACGTAGACGGGATTATTTTCGCCTCGGAGAAAAAAAAAAAAAAAAAGAAAAAATAGGATTTCATCGGAAAAACTCATGTTCTATTTCGTCGTAACAACTACATCTGTGTTATTCTATTTACACGTGTAGTTCGAAATAGTATAGATGAAATGATATAAAATAACTTTAAATAGAGGATAGAAAACTTAAAATTAACTTTTAAAGAACGAAAATGCAATATACTAATAACGAAATTTCAATCAAACAATTATGGCGCAGTTCGATGTTCAAAAATCTGAAGAAGACTTTCACGATTATCATCGCCTGAATTTCGTCAAAAATTTGCTCTTTAAACTGCTTGAACACAGTCTAAATTCAAATTTATCTTATCCAACATTCTGCAAGTTACATCCACTTTTGGTGCTCTACAATTTTCTCATTTCACAAATTTCTGCGTCTCTCGTAAATTTATCATAAACGCGCGTGTACCTCAAGTCTCGCCTCTTTTATCGCGACGCTCTCGGTACCACACCGTTGCACCGTCGCCGAGGAAATTATTGGCACGCGCGCGGTCACCCCTATCGATTGCCTCTCTGTCAGACGTATCCGCCGCGATGTCGCTTCCGCGCGATGGTACATCACTCACGGATGTCAAGATTCCCGGGACAAGTTGCGACGGTTCGCACGACGGTTCCCACCAATTTGGCGACACGTAGTCGTTGTGCTCTCGCCACTCGTTCTGCTTGCGAGATATTGCCCGAAGTAGAACGAGGCTGTAAATAATACTCGGATGAACCACGCGGTGAACGCGTTTGAAACGCGTTTGAATGCGCTTCCGGAGGACCGAGATACGCGAAGATAAAAGTATCAGGAGAGGAGAGAGACGTGTCGGAGACGAAAGAGGGTGGAGAAGATGGTGATTGCCGGGGGTATGCAGAGAATGACCCGAGATGCCATATTTCAAAGTGGGGCGTCCTCCAAGGGGCCGTGAATACCTTAATAGTCATAAGATGTATCCGCGTGCGGCTGCCATACACCGGTTGTCCCCCTCTCTAAAACGTATTCGAAACGTTTCCAGTCATCTCCATCGTGAAACGATACGGCCCTGGACAGCCGTTCTCCGGTTGGGAATATGACGAGTTCCGGGAGGAACGGCGCTCGCCCGGGGACGCTCGCAGTGGCTGTATCCCTTGGTTATGCCGCTGGAAAATTGCGGGCATAGTGGAAATTGGCGCAGCCAGAGTAACCGCCGAGTGCAACGGAATTACGCCCGTCCCTGGTACCTGCTCGAATTGTCTGGTTTTCAGGGCAATCTTCTTGATGTCCGATGCAGATCGTCCGATCTCCGTGTCTGTTACAACGGAGGAGGGGTGGTGGAAATTGAGAGAGAGGTGTTGGAATTTGTATTTGTCGAACTTTGTTGGCTTTGTTATGAATAAAGAATTGCACTTGACTATTTTATTCAAGCTCGCATGCTTGAAATGTTAATTAATGGTATTTCTCTCTGGACAAAGTATCTTGAATCTGTTATGTTTTGTGCAAGTTGAAAAATAGAGGCTGAATTTCTTAAACGCAAAGAAAAGATTTTACAATTAAATTCGTGAACATAAAGTGAGAAGCTGTCGCTACGTTCCTTTTTCAAATGATAATAATTTACTAATTAACAACTATAGCGATTTGTATAAATTACAAGTTGCACACTTTCGAACTTTTCTTTTACGCACGTTCGAGTCGGAAAATTTCTAAATTGAACTCATTCAGTAAAATTTTATATATTACTAATATTAGAACGTTCTCTTGCATTGCGACAGTATTAACGAAACATTGTAATTGTACAAAGAACTTCTAAACATCTTTCTCCATATAACAACAAAAATAAAAAAAGGGAAAAGCAGGCGACACTAGACGAAAAGATTCTATTTTCGGAAAATTAAAACTCACCCCACGCGATCGGAATAATCAAGAAAACGCAACGTGTAAAAAGCGCGAGTCGGGATAGACGAAGGTCGGCAGATTGGTGGAAGATCACCGGTCGTACCTGTCCGGAGGAAATGAACAGGCTTCATAAATCTGGCCAACGATACGGTGCTCCCGGTAATCACGTCATTACGTCAACAGCCGAACGAATGCTCTCACCGACAGCATCTCGCGCTATTTAATAATGAGAGGCTCTCTATTACTCAATGGCTGTTAGAGAGAGAGGGGGGGATGAAACCAGAGAGCGAACGAGAGAAACAGGTAACGAGCGGAGTGAGACGGAGTGAGCGAGAGAGAGAGAGAGAGAACGAGGGTTGGCTTTCGGTTCTACCGGGTTCACTCGGTGCAATCGGTTAATCACCGTTCCTCTCATCCCCGTTTCTGAGACACGATTTAAGCGGGCGGCGTGTCCCATCCACCCCCGCGAGTCCCCATATCAATTAATCTTACCCAGAATGCAATAACTGTCCAATCTGCCCCCGTGGCTGCGTCATGGTGTCGCGCAGTCACTGCTGTAACGCTTCTCCTTTCTCCTTTCGCTCCCCCCTCCCCTCCAACTTCAACCACCTACGTTCTGCTCGCTTCTCTCGCTCGTTTTTCCTTCCCCGTTCTCGACAACGATGTGTCCTTCCTGCTGTTGCCGCGCGAAACCTGCGAATGGTCCTCGCTGAGAGGACCAGACAGAGGGAGATAGTTTCTGGGAAAATCTCACGTCTCCGGACGGTGCTTCCCTCTCTCCGTGGGGGATGTACGTTTTCCTGGGATGCGAAATAATGAGAGGTATACCAGAGAGAGAGAGAGAGAGAGAGAGAGAGAGAGAGAAGAGAAACGGGGAAGAGAAAAAGGGAGGGTCGAGGAAACTCGACGAACGAAACTCGACGGAAAACATATTGGGCCGTTAAGGGGTTCGCCGTTAAGGGTAGTCTGCTTAATTGGCACGGCCGTTTAACCCCGAATTACACCCGGCGAGTCGCGCTGAGCCTGAAACGAGTCTGATCCGAGCCAGCCAGATTCCCTTGGTCAATGATTAATTCTACGAGTTCGATCGTTTCCCTCCCTCGTTACTTTCGTTATAGGTTAATACATTCGCTAATCGCCCCTAAAATTCTGTCCTTTCTTCCTAGGCTGGTAATGCTCGTTTCTTACAGCACGCTGTCCTTTTCTCTCTACGTTATTTTCAATTTCTCGAACGGTTGAAACGACGAACTATTTAATAGCTGATCATTTATGTTTGACAAATTATTTTCAAAGATTCGATTTGATAGAGTCGGAGGGCGAGCTAGGCTGTCAAGAGTAAAGAATAAATCTTGAGACGCTAATTTGAAAGATCAACCTTGACAGAGTTGAAAGTCGAGCCTCTACAATGACAATCCGGTGGGACAAATGATTAAAAGATTATTCCAGTGGGAAAGGACAAAAGAAATTGGAAGACTAGCTTCTACAAAATACTAAGGGACAATGAAAGAGAGCTCGAAGAATTTCAAACAGGTCTTCTGGTCTTTATTCGAGTAACGATGATGTAAATAATATTTTTCGTTAAAGTCATTGTGAAAAGTTTTAATCGGCAAAGAAAGATTGGGGGATTGATTCGTGTCACTGAGAGAGAGTTACAAATGGTAACAGCATTTATTGTTAATAATAATAATAATATTAATAATAATAATAATAATAATAATTGGCAATAATATTAATAGCGAGTTCTCTAATTACAATACTTACATAATGATAGGAATGATACAACAATAAAAACTTCAATAGCGTGAAGAGAGAAAGAATACAATTATTCTCGTTAGGACGAGACTCAAAAGGTGGACGTTTCATCCCCCCCTTTTCTTTTAAATTTCTCGATTAATATTATTTATTATTATTAATAATAATTATTAATATCAATATCAATTATTATTATTAATAATATTTACATTAATCGACGAATCGCTTCTCTTCTTTCAATCCCGTCTCTCTATTTATAATATTTATAGCCTCGACTCGTTTTCTTTTTTTACGGCTTTCTCCTCTTTTTTCGTCGTTTATTTATACTCGTATTTATATATGTATATATTTATACGCTTAGCGCTAGGCGAGATACGATCTATGTGCTATTTACAAGTTGATTCTTTTGGTCACAGTTGCAACTTTGGATGTGGGTGATGCACTTTCCTTGAACGATAGGTGCTGGAGATATGCAAAATACAGTACGCTGCCGGTACTTTCTTACACGTTGTCCACTGTCGACGATGAAACGAGCTCCGGTAAATTTACATCGTCGAATAAAACGTATTTCTACGTCACGTTCTCGTTTGCGTCTTCGAGCATCGTGAAATTCAATAAAAACAGCAGCGGCATTAATTATCGGAATTAAACTCGTTTAATCGTCGAAATAAACGTCGCGTAAACGTCTACGTAATAAGAGAAAGATAGGTGGTGATTATCAATACTTAACGAACGATTCAACACGGAGTGTAGCGACGCTGGAAACAAAGGAATCTCTCGATGGTCCATCCACCGGACACACTTTCGCCTTCGAGTAGAATCCACTAAAATAAAACGCCTAACAATCTCGGTAAACAACGTTGACGAATCGAGTAGAGTGTGTGTAAGGATCGGATCCCTTCCTACCATAGTAGGTTCTTGCTCGAGCCGCGATTTACGTGGAATGTACAGCTTTGGTAATAATTACGCGTGCGCGTATATCACTTTGCACGCGTTTCCTTCGTTTCCAACCACGGTCTGGAATAACTGGTATCGGAATGTACGGTTGCATTCCACTCGACGAACTCGGAGGCGAGCTCTCTCTCTCTCTCTCTCTCTCGACGAGAGCCTCGCACTCGATTGCACTCGAAAGAAAGAGAAATAAAAAAAAAAAAAGAAAAGTTGAACGCGTCGTTCGTCGAATTATCAAACAATAAATAGACAAAGAGTTCGATGTACTGCACTGCTTCTTTCACAGCGTGAAAGAAGTTTGCTTGTTGCTCCGACGACGAAGAGAAATGAGATCCGTCGCGTCGATTATCCTCGAGGTTGTTATCCACGTCGATTGCACCATTTCGAAAAGAGAATTCGATTATCAACATCTTTTCCAACCAACTAGCTTCCTCTCGAAGCGAGGAGGTGAGACAGAGTTTACACGTTTCGTTTCTTTTGATTATCGTTCGGGAGTTGTTCACTGCATCATCGGCGGATTCCCGTTCGGCAAAGAGTTCTGGCCGGGGATCGATCCGATCGACGGCCGTTGAGACGTGTTCAGATCTGCGTGCTGGGTCTCTCGATGCCTTCTCAGGTCGACTTTCCGTTGGAAAGCACGGCCGCAAAGCTCGCAAGCGAACGGTTTGAAGCCCGTGTGCTTCCTCGAATGCGTGATTAGGTTACTGCTCTGGGAGAACGCTTTGCCACATACCTGGCACTTGTGAGGCTTCTCACCTGCAACAGAAGACGATGTCAGTGGAAAATGACTCGATCAAATGGAAGATTAATTAAGCAGCAGCGACTATGTCAACGAAAATTTCTTCCAAAGTCGTGTGACGTGCAATTGTCAAACAAAATCTCTGCATTCCGATTTAAAAATCCCTTCAACCCTTCTCCCAAACCTAATAATTAAACCACGGATGTTCTTGCAATCGTGGAGAACTTGAAGATGCAAGAATGAAACAAATTCCAATTTTCTCAAAAAGAAAAAAAAAAAAAGGACAAAATTCGAATTTGCATAAAAATTTGTATTCTAATAGTAACATTCCAACGAGACCGCGTCTCCCATTTTCGCATTCCAAGCGACCAAAAGAATTGCCCCGTCACGGGGGCAAACGAGCGGCCGTAAAGCACCTGGCTGCAAGTAGTACGAGTCGATCGAAATCTCTCCGGCGACAGCGCGGGCCATTCACGCTCGCTTGGACATTGTGGCGGTCAGGAAGGGCCGTTAATTCGGAAAGCAGAGGCTGACTGTTTAGCCGAGCACCTTGGCGATAGCGCGCGTACAAGCGAGGTACGAGCGGAGGGAACGAACGCCGACAGACACTCCTGTGGAAATAGTGGTGGTGTTTCAGAGGGGGTGGATAGTGAGGGGGTGGTATCAGGGATGCGGGGCACGCCCGGTCAAGATTTCCTCCCAAGCGAGAATCTCAGCCTCCCCGGCGGCGAGGCAGAGGGAAGAAGAGATCGCGGCAGACACGGCGCGAGAGAGAGGAGCGGTGAGGAGCGCAGCTGAGTCTGGGTTACGCGCGAGGCTGGTGGGAGAAACGTGTACAGGCGGGTGGATGAAACGGCGTAGGGTGGCTGTTCGTTTCTCTTCGTGGTGGCCGCGAGTTCTGATTGGCGGCCGGGGGCGGCTCCAACCCCCGTGTTGCCATGACTACCGGGGATAACCCCGGCGGTGGATCGCGAAAGAACGAGAAAGAGAGATCAAACGAGAGAGGGGTGAGAGATCGGGAGAGAGCTCGTCCAATGGAGAAAGGGTGGCGCAGAGTGACAGAAAGAGAAAGAGGAACGATTCTCGCGGAGGGGAAGAGGGAGACGTTCAATCGGACGGGGATGAAAAAGGGGGTGAAAAAGGAAGGGAAAAAAAAAGGAAAAGGAAAGGAAGAAGGAGAGGCCTGTCGGAGAATTTCGTCCACGACGAAGATAGAGGATAATAGGATCCGGGGAAGGAAGAAGAGGGTGTAGAATCCGAGCAATGCGAACTATCCTGGCGGAGGGCAGCACAGGCTCGTTAATGGACTCCCCTATTTCGGCTGCTACGTCCACTCCTCCAACGTTTGTCCGGTTAGATACAGGATGAACACACGCAAACGTGCGCGCACACAGCCTCGAGAGAGATCACGGTGAGGCGGTGGGTGGATCCATAAACAACTCGTTAGCCGGGCCTTCAATCTCGCCCCGCCGATACGACCGGCCCGTCGATCACCTTTGCGATTATACCCGATCGTTATCTTGATTTCTTTTCGGATAAACTGCCGGCCGTTTTGATTTCACCCAACACGTTCTCGCGATACGTTAACGTTTCTTTCCGCGGTGGATGTTGAACGTTCGCTGTCGACGGAGATTTTGGCAAACGATTAACGACCGAATTTCAGAAATTATCCAAAGGCTTGCTTTTCAGTTTCTTTGAAACGAGAATCGATGGGAGAATTCAAGTACTCGGCGTGATGGAGAGTTCGTAAAACGAGTGGGTGAATAGTTGCAATTTTTTAAAATAAACGAAAATTGACAAACGAGAGCGGTGCAATATATGTATATATATAAAAAGAGTCAAGCTAATTGTAAATTTAGAGAAGAAGAATTGTTAAGATTCTAGACGTTAAAACGTCGTGGAGAATTTGTGTAACGAGAGGAACCACAACGATTTCGGATACACTTAAAATCGGGATTCAAGGGAGGATTCAGGGTTAAGGGTGAGCCGTCAAGGGCGTGCTGGTGGAATTCGCCAGGGCCGGCGCTCGATGAAATTCCACGGAGTTCTGCGCGGCCGGATGAAATGGTAGAATGAATAGAATTTTCACGACGTTAAGCGAGAAACTGGAGAACCGGGGGGCGAGAAATGAGGAGAGCGGAAAACGAAGTCTGCAAGTACCGTTTGGAATTTACGCGGCCGTAAAATCAAAAGCCTTCCGTACCGAGGTTGCCCGGAGGCTCGATATAAATCGTTCTGGAAAAATCTCTCGCAAACCGAACGCTTATATTTGAAATATATAAAAGAGTACCCAATCACCGAACTCTCAATTCGTCGACTAAATGTACAAACATACGCAACGCTCGCGAAGAGAATTCACAAAACTGGACGGACCCGAGACAGGGAAATTCTGTTCTTTGGAAAAATTCTCACGAACGTTCAATCTTTCAAATATTCGCTCCGGCGAGTTCCAGTTCTCCGGAGAGAGCGTTGAGCGAAAGAATTCCCGGTAGAAAGAAAAGGAACGAGGCGAGGAGAAAGGAGGAAGACGGAGAACCTAGGAGTAGGGACGTCTCCGGAAATTTACGTGCTCGTAAAAATCAAGAACCGTCGGAGCTTTTGCACCGAGGTTGCCCTTTTCGTCTTCATCTCCAGTAAGAAACCCAGCCACCACGGCTCCGCAGCTTCGTCTACGACGTGAATGCACATCAGCGCATTCTATGTTTCCTCTGGTCGTCGTTTCTAGTGCACACACACACACACACACACACACACATACACACATACGTCTACGAATACGTGGTTCGTCGTAACATCCGGTCTGCAATGAGTGTGTCGAATACACGGACGCGAAACCACGTTAGCACTAAACAATACAGCACGCGAACATTTCTTCATGCAACTGGCTCGTGGTTGCAGAGAGCGAGAGACGGCAGATCCGCTGAAAGATTTAAACTGGCTGAGCAGTAGAGATTCTGTGCTCTCAATTTTTTAGAAGGAACATCTCGCAGGAACGGAGGAAACGGAAGAGGGAGACGCGAGAAAGTCGAAACTGAGAGCCCCTGAGGTTTAAGACGCCATTACACCCCTGGGCTGTCGGCCGACGCCCCTAAAACTATATTAAACTCCCGGAAATCTTGCGAGGGTCCTCTCTCCTTCGCTAATTCTCCTTCTCTTCTTCCTCTTCTTCTTCTTCTTCTTCTTCTTCTTCTGCCTGGCAGCCGGCAGTGCTCACTGGAAACATCATCCCCCGTGATCTTCCAACCCTCCGTTTCAGCCCGGAGGAACTCTCGAGAGCGGAAAACCAAGACGATAGTTTGATCGCTTTCGCCATCGGGGCGACGACCAACTTCGACTCCATCGTCTCGTTGTCGAATGGTCTTGTTTTGACGGGACGTTCACACGGGAAAAGGGATACTTCTTCTTCGTTTTCCAAGCGATTGTCGATAGGGTGGATACGAAGGAGTAAAGTTCTTCAGAATTCGATCAAGAGACCTTGGAAATTGTTCACTAAACACGGGAATAATCATCGCGAGAAATGATACAGAATGTTACGAGGACTTTATTCCTTTTATATTTGTATATAAAACTATGCAAGATGCGCAAGATGTCGGTTACCAGCGTTGAGAATCAAATGCTATAATAACGTTCTAGGCACACTTTGTCTCAAATATTTCGCATAGCTTTGCTGTAAGACGAGGCTACATACGATACTTCAATAATACAATATAAAGAAAAATCGGAAAATTTGAAATATTTTTTTTTCATATTAAAGAGAAATATTATATACAGAAGAGAATCAAGGATTCTGTTTAAATTCGAGAAGAAATGGAACGAGTGGCGAAGAGGAGTGGCCAGAGAAGATAGATAGATAGATAGAGAGAGAGAGAGAGAGAAACGAAGGTGAACCGGACTCTGGCTGAGGCATTGATTTCCTCTCGTCTTCATCGACCACGTTCAGACCCTCTGGGGGCGTCCCTACCCTCTGACTGAAATCCTCGCAAGAAACGAGAGAAAGAAAATCGAAGGAAAGTACCATATCTCATATTTCATATCGGGGGCGGAGGAGGGCCCGGGCATGGATTTTCTTGCGCGTCTGCAAAGCTTCGCGTAAGCGTTACCCAGCGACTTCGGGCGAATCTTTTTCCCAGGGAGAGAGAGAGCTTCGTTTCTGTCACACGAAACAAGGGAAAAGAATCCAGGTGCTTTCAAATCGGAATCCCCGTCCGTGTTTTATTTCGATCGGGTAATGGGATTTCCAGCGAGCATCGGGGTAGATTCTCCGAAAGATTCGTCGGGGAAAAGACGTTTCTCACAGCGGAGCTGGTCTCGATTGATCATTGACTGACTAAAACTTGCTAGCGGATCCGTCGAGAAAAACTAAATAATCAAACAATTTCTCGAAGAACATTCGAAAATGTTGGACGGACTCCTACCTCGATTACTGTGTTACAATCTCCGAATTTTTGTCTTAATTGTTTAAACTCGAATTCGTGAAACATTCGAGCAATAAAACGACAGAGTTACGTTATAATCGAAACTGTTTTCAATCGTAAAAGACAATGGATAAAAGAAAATTACTTTAAGAATCTATGGAAAATCATTATCCAAGAAAATAGTCTTCGAAATCTACAAGACTTCACGTCTTTCGACCATTTAATGTCACTTAATCGGCAAAACAACATATTACACTAAAAATTCCTCGCAACTATCATTACCTCAGCTATCCAAGTAAACCACCCTCTCCACCGTCGCCTGATGAAATTTCTTATCCTCCGACAACTCCGTCGTGTCGTTCATCCGGCAGCAGCGTTCGGTCAACGAGTGTCAGCAGTCCCATGGGTCAGTCGAATCCAACAACTCGGTTGTATTTACTATTTCACGCGTACACGAGTGAACTCGAGAGCAGAGCGGATGAAGTGGCCGGCTAAAACGCCAACAGGACGCGAACGCGTGTCGCACGCGGCCACACCGACGCGGATGCAACGGGTGTATACGTGTGTTCGGGTTTGATATGCCGTCGCGTAACAGTCGACAG